AATGGCGCGATCTCGGCTCACCGCAACCTCCGCCTCCTGGGTTCAGGCAATTCTCCTGCCTCAGCCTCCTGAGTAGCTGGGATTACAGGCACGCACCACCATGCCCAGCTCATTTTTTGTATTTTTAGTAGAGACGAGGTTTCACCATGTTGACCAGGATGGTCTCGATCTCTTGACCTCGTGATCTGCCCGCCTCGGCCTCCCAAAGTGCTGGGATTACAGGCTTGAGCCACCGCGCCCGGCCCGTTTTGTTTTTTTAAGAGATGAGTTATTATGAGTTATCTTACCATGTTGCCTAGGCTGGCCTCTTAACTCCTGGGCTCAAGTGATCCTCCTGCCTCAGCCTCCCAAAGTGCTAGGATTTACAGGCGTGAGCCACCGCACCTGGCCAGGAAAATCTTAAGTGTTGGTGAAAAAAAAAATCCACCTTCCTCTGCTTCCAAATCCCTAATGGGATGGAGTGGAGTGTGTGCATGCCTCTGCTTATGAGTTTTTGTATATCTTAACTTTGAATCCTATTCATGGCGCCCATTCCACAATGAAAATGTAAGCTCCTTGTGATTAAGACCTGTGTTTATGGTTCTTTACTTGTAAACTAGGGCAATTTTATACGTATCTAGTTAGGTTAGCAGTATTCTCTTTCTCTTCTCACTTTCCTTCTCCCTTTTTTCCTTTAAATATTGAGCCCCTGTCCTCTAAGGAAAGAGTCTAAAATTAAATTTACAAAGATATGGACTATTTAAAGGATCTCACTGGGACCTAGCCAAGGTGACTGGGAAAGAAATCTGGATGCTGTCTTGGGATTTCTATCAGGGATATGTCACTTCTCGGCATTACTATCATGCAAGATTTTCTGGTTGGATTAGATCCTGCTTCCTTGGCCGGCTGCATCATTGATAGACTAATTTGGTTGGAACTTCCAGCCTGTTTCAAGATATGTCGTATTTGGCAGCCTTATAGTAAGCACATATCTTTTGGCTTTCCTCCAAGAATTTCATAAATATTTGGGAATACTTTTTTGATTTCTAAGTTATTCCTAAGTTGTCTCAATTTGTTCTTGTTCTTTTTCTGCTAGCCACAGCAACAGGTACATTAGATGAGAACGGCATCAGCCTAACAAAAAAAAGGAGGACACTTTAAAAATCTCATTTCCTAGGCCGGGCGCGGTGGCTCACGCCTGTAATCCCAGCACTTTGGGAGGCCGAGGCGGGTGGATCACGAGGTCAAAAGATCGAGACCATCCTGGTCAACATGGTGAAACCCTGT